TATGGTTAGTGAATTGATATAGTGTGCATATGAATGACCTATGGTTAGTGTATTGCCTTTGGTTAGTGGATTGATATAGTGTGCATATGCATAACCTATAGTTAGTAGATTGATATAGTGTGCATATGCATAACCTAAGTTAGTGGATTGGTATAGTGTGCATTTGCATAACCTATGGTTAGTAGATTGATATAGTGTGCATATGCATAACATATGGTTTGTGGATTGATATAGTGTGCATATGGATAACCTATGGTTAGTGGATTGCCCATGATTAGTGTATTGCCTATGGTTAGTGGATTGATAGTGTGTCTATATGCATAACCCATGGTTAGTAGATTGATATAGTGTGCGTATGCATAACCTATGGTTAGTAGATTGATATAGTGCGCATATGCATAACCTATGGTTAGTGGATTGATATAGGTGTATATGCCTAACCAATGATTAGTAGATTGATATAGTGTGCTTATGCATAACCTATGGTTAGTAGATTGATATAGTGTGCATATGCATAACCTATGGTTGGTGGATTGATAAAGTGTGCATATGCATAGCCTATTGTTAGTGGATTGATAAAGTGTGTGTATGCATCACATATGCCCAGTGGATCATCTAGTTCACATGAGGCACAACGAATGCGTGTACTTATATATCACCAGAACTTATGACCCATGAACAGCCTGTGTCATCAACTAAGTTTATTACTGAAAGCGTAGCTGTAGAGTCCCTATTGCAATCCCGTGTCGTAAACTAAGTTTATAATACAACGGAAAGAATGTACATTGTCATCGCGCGAACTTCAGACAGTTCTGCACTGGCACGGGTGGATGCAGAATTCATACATAGCCTCCTACATAATAACCGACATACTAAAGCTAAAACCCTCAATCCTAAAACATCAGCAGAGATGAACTCGCCCCGAGTAAGCCACGCAATATGTTTAAACGAATCTCTACAGACCATTTCCACTCTTTTCGGTTCATCCTATGCACGACCAAAATGCCGATGGCAGGCATCTTCTAGAGTGTGCAGATCTACTCTCAAAAGCCAAAATCCAAGATCTAAATATCTACTCCCAAAAGCCAAAATCTACTCCAAGATAAGATCTAAGGATCTACTCCGGCAAATTGAGCTCTCGTCTGTGTGTCTAAGCACCTACACGTGCACCTCTAACTGAGAAAACGGGACTATTGGGCATTGACAGGACTATTGGGCTTTGGCGTACATAAAGTAACCCAGCCTCTCGTAGGACACCTCACCTGTATGTACCAGTGTTTGCCATCAGATCAGTCTGAGCTCTATCTTCGCCAGGACATGCCTTGCTGAGCATACTTAATTACTACTACTTAAGAGGAACAAACCTACGTACTACTACTTAAGAGGAACATACCTACCTATTGTTACCTGAGGTGGGCATACCTACTATCCCCTGCGATGAGTATAACTCCTACTACTTTAGATGTATGGGTTGTTGTTCGGGGGAATACACACGTGCGACCATTGACAAAGCTATCTACTCCCCACTTCTGGTACACTGTGTACTTGCACACACACACACCTACGTGTCTATCTGCCTGACTACGACTGTGACTGGCGTGGCGTGTGCGTTGTATGTATACATACACACACACGCCTAGGCACATATCTGCATGCTTACGACAGTAACACGCGCATGTGCTAGGATGTTGTATCACCTCTCGACGTTCGTCTCGGCGTACCTTCACATGCGCATCATATGTACATGCATGAATCTGTCAGCAGCAAATTCTCCTTAATTGAGCGAAATCTTGATATATCTGTGTCACTCACCACCACATCATTCCTCATGATGCTCGTTTCTCCTAAATCATATATATATATATATATATATATCACTCACCCACTCACCATCCTAATCTTTCCACTCCCTCCACATGCCACAACACCTTATTTCGTCATGTGTCATACAACTCCTCATGTCTACACCTAGAGTGCTGATGTGCACTTATTCTTTCATATATCCTATTACCTTCCGATGTCTATATCTAAAGTACTGATGGCGTCGTAAGCGTGTCATCAATATCCACAGCGGGGTGTCTTACAGTAGCGTCAACCGTCGCTTCGTTCTCATTGGCCGCGAGGGGCCCCTTTTTATCTGAAAACGAATCAGAAATGTCGTACGAAGGACACGACTCATTCGTAGGCGAAGACGGGTGCTGGGTGAGGGTTTGGGGTGAAATATCAGTACCATGCGAGCAATGCAAGCGTTCTATAGATAGTAACGAATCAGAATTGTCGTACGAATGACACGTTGGCTCATGCGTAGGCGAACACAGGCGCTAAGTGAGGGATTGCGCTGGAGTGCGAGGGTTCTATAAATAGCAACCAATCAGAAGTGTCGGAAGGTAGACACGTGGCAGCGGACTCTGTGTCGATAGCAAATAGTGTTTGTCTAAAACCCTAACCCTAAACCCTAAAACCCTAAAACGGGCGGAAACCTGAAAACGGATGAATCTCATTTACTCGTACGGTGTACATGCGTCAACTTTTTGGATCAGGATAGCGCAAAATACATCTATATATGTTTACATACATACTTATATATATATATATAATGTATATGTATATATATATATATATAT